AGGCTTTACCACATTGGTTACATTCATAAGGTTTCTCTCCAGTGTGAATTCTTTTATGTATTAGGAGATGACTGTTACTTGCAAATGATTTACCGCATCGATTACATTCATAAGGTTTCTCTCCAGTATGGGTTCTTTTATGTATTAGGAGACACCTGTTGTTTGCAAAGGCTTTTGCACTTTGATTACATTTGTGGGGTTTTTGTCCAGCATCAATTCTTCCACACATTTGAAGTTCACTATTATATGCCCAGGATTTACCATATTGGTTACATTCATAGAGTTCCTCATCAGCATGTATTCTTTTATATGTGTGGGGACTACTGTGATGTGCAAAGACTTCACCATATTGAATATCTGCAGAAGGTTTTTCTCCACTATGACTGTTTTCACACCTGCAAAAATAATTGGCACATAAAAAAGCTTTACCACACTCATTACACTGTTGAATATTTTTATCCATGTCAATTTTACAATATGGTGTAAAGGTAAAGAGGAACTACATCTTGGTTTCATCACTATTTTTACATTCATCGTGTTCTCCTTCTCTATGTGTAGTTTTGCATATTTAAACATACCTGTGATGATAAAAATGTTTGTTACCTGGCTCATATTTTTACTATATTTTTCTTCTATAAGATGTTTTACCACATATTTGTAGAAAACTGCAAAATCTACTGGCTTCATAAACTCCCCTATACTGGGCGCCATGATAAATTTGCAAAGATAACTGGGACAAACAAAATTTCAACATTCCTAAAACTTACATTTTCTGCAGTGTGAGTTTATGAGTATTCTTAAGGAAATTGAATAACCAATAAATTGATGTTGGGGTATATTGTGTGAAAGTGTGTCAGCATATGTGAATGCTGATTGCTGAGACAGCAGAGAACTAAGTGCTGGCCAGAACTTAGTATTGTTCTTTCTATTGCCAATCACCTGTCATATATTTTGTAAACATTTGTCCTTCCTTTCTTATCTATTGGAAACAATAAAAGTGGACAACTAATAGCAGGGCACAAAATAGAGGGCAGAACATCTGAGTGAGAGAGGGTTGCTGGGAAGAAGAAAGCAAAAGACAAATTCATTAGCAGTACACTGCAGGTAACAGATGTATATGAACATTTATGAAGAGGTAGAGCTGGCCATGCAACGGGACACCTGACTAGTTTTATTTGGGTTAAGGGAAAAAGAGGGTTCAGAGGCTGCCCAGGTAAATTGCCTAAGCTTTAAAATATTAAAAAGATTCTGTGTCATTCTTTGCACTGCTGCCAGGTCGGAATATCCTATATAAAACATAACAGGTATCACATTTAAAAAATCTACTCAAAATGGGGACTATTATATCTTTTAATTGTTCTGGGAGGTACATTGCTTCTTTCAATAGCCCCATGCTAATATGTCTTCACTGTGACAATGATATACCTATTAAAAGAAGAATAAAGAATAATAAATGGCATGGTTTTATGCTGCATTCACACATTTTATTTTGTTCATCATAGATATGTAAGGATTATGGTTTTTCCACAACAACATTCTGGACTATAAAAAACTGCCCTTCTCACCAAACTAAGCAACATTATTACACGTATATGAGTAACTCTAGCTTTAGCATGGACTACTTAATTAGGATAATATTTTGGATATGCTTTCATCACCTATATAATGTGAATTCCTTTGGCAATATCTGAGTTGTAGGAGAATAAACAAAATGCAGTTCTACCGCATAGCTCTGATGAGGCTATGATTTAAATGGTGATCTTAGGTAAGGTATGATTTGCTTACATTCTTTTCTAGAGTGGTGCCTTGCAAACAAACTTCAAATACATAACATGGAGGTAGTACATGGTTTGGTAACAAGTTAGTAACATCAATAAATACACTTAAAGCAGTTCATTTACATTGTTCCTTTTCTTTCAATCTTCCAGGACATATTAAAATTTTTCTCAGAACCATATTTATAATACATTACACATGAAAATTACCTTGTATGTCTTCTAGAACTTTGACAATGCTCTTCAATATTATGATCTTTCCAATTGTAGCCTAAAATACAGTACAACAAAATATATTATGTTTTATTGGAAAAAAGGTCATGATCTATGGTCAATCAAAGAACCATTCTTCTCATTTTTCCGCATCCTCAAGCTAAATTACATAAGTGCATGAATAATGAATAGTTTCCCTCATATTTTGAAAAGTAAAGAAAATTCACTGTCCTACCTATAGCAGTGAGGTTCCTGTAGGTCTCCAGCATCACATCTTTGTAGAGATTCCTCTGGGAAGGATCTAGCAAAGCCCACTCTTCTCGAGTAAAGTTCACATGCACATCATTGTAGGTCAATGCATTCTAAAATATCCACACATGTGTACAACAAAAAGCTTGAAACTTACAACACTAAAAATGTATACTTCATTTACAATATTTTTTACAGAATTCTGGAGTTTCTTCTACTTATTTTCTGACACACAAGTTCTAATGTAATCACCAACTCTTTAGAAGTAAACTGAATAGTGAGGTTCACCTCTCTAATTTCTGCATCCTTTCAGTAGGATATAGCCTTGCAAGAGAAATACCTATTAATAGACATAAAGAGAGAGTAAACAAAAGTACTGCAACGACATCAGAAAAACAGTATGAACAATTAATAACTATAATAACAATAGGTAAGATGGGTGTATTTTCTCATGCCATTTATTTTAAAAAACACTCAGGAAACAGATGCAGGTGTATCACATATAGCTGGATGCTAGCCTGGTCTAAACAATAAGTTCCATGACTGTCAGGGTTATATAATAAGACCTGAATATTCTGCAAAATTTAATCAAACAAAAAGAGAGAAAGAACTGAGAGATCTTTCTCAAGTTTCTACAGAGATATACATTCTCTCCAGTTCTTCATGCATGTCTAGAAACCTGAAGTGCCTCATTTTAAATGTAATATTAATATGATCTTTCTAAAATAAAATGTATGTATGAACAATTACAAAAGGACAGATGAAAATATTAGCAATGTAAATGTTGGTCTTAAATAGGCAACATATTGGGCTGGAGGTATGGCTTAGTGGATAAGAACACCACTTTTGCTTTCCAGAGGACCTGGCTTCAATTCCCAGAACCCACATGACAGCTCACAGCAGTGTGTAACTCAAATTCAATCGATTTGACATCCTCACATCAATGCACACAAAATTAAATTAGTTACTAGAAATGAATGAATGAATGAATAAATAAATAAATAAATAAATAAATAAATAAAAATAAGCAACATAGGTCATAAGTGATGGCTCAGCAGTGAAGAGGTCTTGTTGGTCTTGCAAATATTTGGGCCTGAATGCTGGTACTTACACAGGTGGGAATCAGGAACCAATGGGTAGGTGGATTAGGGGTGACAGAGTCTACACAGAAACTTGGTAATCAAATTCCAGAGACAACACTCAAAGGTGCAGCTCTAACTTTATTATTCAGTGTAACAGTCTTTAAATGACTGAAAGCCCAATCAGAATATTCCATGCTGGCCTCAAGTACCAGTAACCATCAATCAGGATGATACAACTGTAAGGGAATGTGGGAGTTGTGGGGGCTGGCCACCCCACAAATTAGGCGATTTCCATAAAGAAGGGTGAAGCAGCACTGCCATAGCCTTGGACCCCTTTGAGACTTAGTATGCTATGAGTTGCTAGTAGAGCAACAATGTGTGCACTGGAACAAGAAGTTGTAGGAGTTCCTAAAGCTTCACTTGCCATTCCCTATGGGCCTCCTAAATATTTACCTTGACATACCCCACACATAGGAGCTCACAACTATTTATTATTCCATGTTCAAGAGTTCTGAAGCCATCTTTGAAGACCAGGCACACATGAAATACTTATTTACATAAATATGGAAAATAGTCATATTCATTCAAAAAATTTTAAAACAGGCATAAAAAGTCCTGCAATCATATGATTCATAAGGTTCAAGCAGTATTAATATCATAATAAAGAGCATAATACAAGAGCAGGTTTGACATGTAAATACCTACATTCCTGAACTGTCACGTAATAATTTAACGATGAAACAAAAAGGTCAGGCATATGGGCCCACAACTAATACCAGCACTCTAGAGACACTGTAAAGTGGATCTCGAAGTTGAGGCCTGCCTGGTCTAAATACCTACTTACAGGACTGACAGGACTACAAAAAAGTACTTTGACTTTAAAAACAAACACCAACCCCCCCCCACAAAATAAAACAAAAAACAAGGCCTATATACCCTAAGGGAAAAGTAGCAGTCATTAAAGCTCTCCTAAGCAAAATAGAAACCTCTGAGACAGAGGATATTTGCACAGAATTCTACCAGACTTTAAATAAAAGCCAATACAAATACTCCTTTTTAAATTTTTATTTTATTTTTTTAATATTACTTACAGTTTGTTAACTTCGTATCCCTGCTGTATATCCCACTCCCTCTTTTCCTCCCAACCCCACCCTCCCACCCTCATCTCCCTGCCCCTTTCCAAGTCCACTGATAAGGGAGAACCTCCTACCCTTCCATCTGATACTGGTTTATCAGGTGTCATCAGGACTGGCTGCAAAGTCCTCCTCTGTGGCCTAGCAGGGCTGCTCCTCCCTGTGTGTGTGGGGGGGGGTCAAAGAGCCCACAATCAAGTTTATGTCAGAAACAGTCCCTGTTCCCCTTATTAGGGTACCCACTTGGATACTGAGCTACCAAGGGCTACATCTGAAAAGGGGCTCTACTTTGCATCCATACATGACCCTTGTTTGGAGAAACAGTCTCATAAAAGACCCCTGTGTCCAGATATATTTGGTCTTTGTGGAACTCCTGTCCTCTCCAGGTTGTATTAACTCCCACCCCTTTTTTGATTCCCTACACTCTGCCAGAGGTTTGGTTATGAGTCTTAATATCTGTTTTGGTACACTGCTAGGTAGAGTCTTTCAGAGGCCCTCTGTGGTAGGCTCCTGTCCTGTTACTTGTTTGCTCCTATATCCAATGTCTATCCCATTTACCTTTCTAAGTGAGGATTGATCATCATACCCTGGGTCCTCTTCCTGGTTTATTTTCTTTAGGTGGATAGATTTCAGTATATTTATCCTATCTTATAGGTCTATATAAGTGAGTACATACCATGTGTGTCTTTCTGCTTTTGGGATAGCTCAGTCAGGATGATTGTTTCTAGGTCCCACCACTTGCCTGTAAATTTCATGATTTCCTCATTTTTAATTGCTGAGTAGTATTCCATTGTGTAAAAGTACCACAATTTTTGTATCCGTTCCTCAACTGAGGGACACCTGGGTTGTTTCCAGGTTCTGGCTATTACAAATAAAGCTGCTACAAACATGGTTGAGCATATGTCCTTGTGTACTTGAGCCTCTTTTGGATATATGCCTAGGAGTGATATAGCTAGATCTTGATGAAACACTATTCCTAACTGTCTGAGAAAGCTCCAGATTGATTTCCAAAGTGGTTGTGCAAGTTTACATTCCCACCAGCAATGGAGGAGGGTTCCCCTTTCTGGACATCTCCTCCAGCATGTGTTGTCACTTGAGCTTTTAATCGTAGCCATTTTGATGGTTGTAAGGTGAAATCTCAGGGTTGTTATGATTTGCATTTCCCTGATGATTAATGACGCTGAACATTGTTTTAACTGTTTCTCTGGAATTCGATATTCCTCTACTGAGAATTCTCTGTTTAGCTCTATACCACATTTTTAATTGGACTACCTGAATTTTTTGCTGTTTAACTTCTTGAGTTCTTTATATATTCTGAATTTGCCCTCTGTCAGATATAGGGTTGAAGATCCTTTCCCAATCTGTAGGCTGTCATTTCATCCTGAAGACAGTGTCCTTTGTTTATAGAAACGTTTCAGTTTAATGAGATCCCATTTATTAATTGTTGATCTTAGAGCCTGACCTATTGGTGTTCTGTTCAGGAAGTACTGTCCCATACCAATACATTCAAGGCTGCTCCCCAATATTTCTTTTAACAGATTTAGTATGTCTAGTTTTATGTTGAGATCTTTGATCCACTTTGAACTTCAGTTTTGTGCAAGGTAATTAATATGTATCTTTTTGCATTTTTCTACAAGCAGACATCCAGTTAGGCCAGCACCATTTGTTGAAGATGCTGGCTTTTTCTATTGTATGCTTTTGGCTTCTTTGTAAAAAATCAAGTATCCATAGACATGTGGGTTTATTTCTATTTGAGTCCATTGATCCACCATTCTGTTTATATGTCAGTACTATGCAGTTGCTTTTTAGCATAGCTTGAGATCAGGAATGGAGATGCCTCCAAATGATCTGTTGTTGCACAAATAGTTTTAGCAATTCTGGGAATTTTTGTTGTTCCATATGAAGTTAAGAATTGTTCTTTCAAGGTCTATAAAGAATTGTGTTGGTATTTTGATGGGAACTGCATTGAATCTGTTGATAGCTTTTGGCAGGATGGCCATTTTCACTATGTTAATGCTACTAATCTATGAGCATGGGAGATCGTTCCTTCTTCTGATACCTTCAATTTCTTTCTTCAGAGCCTTGACGTTTTTTTTCAAACAGGTCTTTCACATGATTGGTTAGAGTCACACCAAGATACTTATTACTGGCTAATGTGAAGGGTGTAGTTTCCCTAATTATTCTCAGCCCTTTTGTCTTTTGTACACATAAGGGCTACTGATTTTTTTTTCAGTTAATTTTTTATCCAGCCACTTTGTTGAAGGTGTTTATGAGCTAACGAATTTCTCTGGTTGAATTTCTGTGGTCACTCATGTATACTATATTATCTTCAAATAATGATACTTTGACTTCTTCCTTTCTGATTTGTATCCTTTTGATCTCCTTTAGTTATCTTACTGCTCTAGTGAGGACTTCAAGTATTATGTTGAAGAGATACTGAGAGAGTGGGAAGTCATACCTTTTCTATGAGTTTACTGGGATTCTCTCCATTTAGTTTGATATTGGTTAAAGACTTGCTGTATACTGTCTTTACTATGTTTAGGTATGTGCCTTGTATCCCTCATTTCTCCAAGACTTTAAAAATGAATGGGTGTTGGATTTTGTCAAATGATTTTTCAGCATTTAAGAAGATCATGTGGTTTTTCTCCTTCAGTTTGTTTATATGGTGGATTATAATGGTGGATTTCCATATATTGAATGATCCCTGCATGCAGGGATGTAGCCTAATTGGTCATGGTGGATATCTTTGATGTGTTCTTGGATTCAGTTTGCAAGTATTTTATTGAGTATTTTTGCATCAATGTTCATAATAGAGGTAGGTCTGAAGTTCTCTTTTTTTGGTTGGGTCTTTTTGGAGTTTAGGTGAGAAGGTGACTGTGGCTTAATAGAATGAGATTTCAGCTCTAAATTTGTTTTCTTTTAATCATCTACTCCACTTGGGTGTGTCTGCTTAAGATGAAGCCACACCAGAATTCTACCAGACATTCAAAAAGGAGCTACAATAATCCTTCTTAAACTATCATGAAAAGAAAAAAAAGGAAGAGAAACAGAAGGAGCCCTTCAAAATTCTTTCTAGAAATCCAGCATTGCAAATAAGCAAACCAGTTAAAATCGCACAGAAAGAAAACCACAGACCAATACTCTTGATAAAAATAGACTTTTCAACAAAAATTAATCAAAGAAAAGATGAAGAAGGGCAATTCATTCTTATCAAAGGAAAAATCCACCAGAAGGATATCATGATTCTGAACATCTATGCCCCAAATTCAAGAGCACCCGCATTTGTAAATGAAACATGATTAAAGCTTAAAACACACATCAATCCCAACACATTAATAGTGGGAGACTTCAACACTCCACTCTCACCAAGGGACAGATCATCTAGACAGAAGCAAAATAGGGAAATAATAACAATTACAGACATCCTAAATAAAATAGACCTAATAGATGTCTACAGAACTTTTTACCCCAACACAAAAGAGTATACCTTCTTTTCAGCACCTTATGGAACCTTCTCAAAAATTGACCACATAATTGGGCACAAAACAAGCCTCAAAAGACACAAGATCGAAATAATCCTTTGTATTCTATCACACCAACATGGACTAAAACTAGACTTCAACAACAACATAAATAACAAAAAAAAAACACCTACATACACAGGTAAACTAAACAACTCTCTACTCAATGATAGCTTTGTCAGGGAAGAAATAGAAAAATAAATTAGAGACTTCCTAAAATTCGATGAAAATGAAGGCACAACTTACCCAAACTTGTGGGACACAATTAAAGCACTGCTAAAAGGAAAGTTCATAGCACTAAGTGCCTCCAGAGAGTAGTTCATCTCATAGAAGCAATTTAATGACACACCTAAAAGCCCTAGGAAAAAAAGCAGGCACACTCACAAGGAGTAGATGATTGGAAATAATCAATCTCAGAGCTGAGATGAATGAATTAGCAACAAAGAAAATAATTCAAAAACTCAATAAGAGCTGGTTCTTGGAGAAAATCAACAAGATAGACAAATACTTAGCCAAACTAAGTAAAGGACAGAGAGAAACTATCCAAATCAGCAAAGTCAGAAATGAAAAGGGGCCATACCAACAGACACTGAGGAAATCAAAACAATCATTAGGTCTTACTACAAAAGCCTATATCCCACAAATTTGAAAATCTAAATGAAATGGACAACTTCGATATATTCCATCAACCAAAATTAAATCAAGATCAGGTAAATAGATTGAATAGTCCTATATCTCCCAAAGAAAAAGAAACAGTCATCACAAATCTCCCTTCCAAAAAAAGAAAGCCCAGGGCTAGATGGTTTCAACATAGAGTTATACCAGACCTTCAAAGAAGAGCTAACTCCAATTCCCTTCAAACTATTCCACAAAATAGATACACAATGGACATTACCAAACTCATTTTAGGAAGCCACAGTCACTTTGATACCTAAACCCCACAAAGACCCAACCAAAAAAGAGAACTTCAGACCTATCTCTCTTATGAACATTGATGCAGAAATACTCAATAAAATACTTGCACACCAAATCTAAGAATACATTAAAGATATCACCCACCATATCCAGGCTAGAGCAGTAAGGCAACTAAAGTAGAACAAAGGGATACAAATCAGAAAGGAAGAAGTCAAAGTATCACTATTCACAGATGATATGATAGTATACATGAGTGGACCCACAAATTCTACCAGAGAACTCCTACAGCTGATAAACACTTTCAGCAAAATTGCTGGATATGAAATTAACTCAAAAAAATCTGAAGTCTTCCTGTATACAAAAGACAAGTGAGGTGAGAAAGAAATTGGGGCAACAACAACCTTCCAATAGTCATAAATAACATAAAGTACACTGGTTTAACTCTTACCAAGCAAGTGAAAGATCTGTATGAAAAAAAAAAAAAAAACTTCAAATCTCTGAAGAAATTGAAGAAGATATCAGAAGATGGAGAGATTTTCCATGCTTATGGATCAGTAAGAATAACAGCAAAAAATGGTCATCCTACCAAAAGAAATCTAGAGATTAATGTAATTCCCAATAAGATACCAATACTATTCTTTACAAACCTTGAAAGAACAATTCTCAACATCATATTAAAAAAATAGTTGAAACAACCCAGTACGATAAAGGATTTCTGAAGTTATCTCCATCCCCGTTCTAAAGCTATACTACAGAGCAATAGTAATAATAACGGCATAGTACTGGCAGAGAAACAGACATGTCGGTCAATGGAATTGAATCAAATACCCAGAAATAAACCCATACACCTACAGAAGGCAGCACTAAGGCCAGAAATTTATACACTGAACCCCCATGGTATGTCCTTCTCCCCATCAAGCTACTTAAGACCTCCAGCCACTGTACTACAGTGCAGAATCTCCACTTACCCCCTCAAAAGACTAGTATAATCAGTGTTTTGTCTGAAAGAAAAATCCTGCTTTTGAAAATGTCTGTCTGTTCTCTTCTAAGTCCATGTCAACTGTTATCGATCCTAATCTAACAGACACTACAACATGCACTGAGAAGAGCAGAGAATCATAGGTTCATATTTTTAAAGTCTTTATTCAACTAAGCATTTAAATGTAAAAACATAAATGGATAGACTTCTAGATGTATAAAATCTAACAACATTAAATCAAGAAGAAGTAAATTATTAAAACAGACACATAACAACCAAGATAGAAATGATAATTTGAAAATCTCTTAATTAAAAGAAAAAAAAGAAAGAAAGCCTAGGTCTAGTGATTCAGCATGAATTCTACAAGAGTCTCAAATAACTCACTGCAATATTCCTCAAAGTATTCCACAAAAGGAAAAAGGAAGAAACACTTCTATATTTTTGTGAAGACACCAATATTATCTTGATTACAAAAAATCAACTTCTAAAAATAACACAAGCTAATATTGTGTTAACTAATTAATAACTCATGTTATAAAGAACTTCTATATAGATACTTAGTTATCTGTACAAGAGATATATTTACCTATGTTATGACTGGAAGTCATGACTACAGACTATGTCAATATCAATGTCAAACATTACTGATTCCTATAATACTAAACTATATAGTATACAAACATTCACATTTCATCTTTTATTTACCTAATGTTGACTGAATGAAAAGTTTAATTGACTCGCTCAACAATCTTCTTCATGATACCCTATTTGAAGGTGATCTCCAAGGCTCATAAGTGTAAATGAGTCTTAGTTTATATCTTGTTGGTTTAAAACCCACACATTACACTTACCACAAACACGTTGAGATACGGCCCCAGCTCATGAGCACTGTCTCTATTCTAAAATCTAATAATGGGAGCACAGTTTTGGTTTCACCTTCATCATACCATATTAATACTAAAAAAATCTGTGAAAGCAATTATGTTTCAGTACTGCCTACTCTAGTACAGGTTATTTATTGTCCACAAAAGGATCTTCTTATGGTCTCGTCATGAATATAGATTGTATTTTAGATGAAATGGTTGCTTTGGATATGATGCCCTAGTCTATGTCTTATGGCATTAGACATATTCCATGAAATCATAAAAATTTTCGTTATTGAACTTGCTATATTTTTATACTATTTACACATATATCTTACAGAATCTCATCTCAGTCCCCAAATCATGTAAGATACAGATATATACACATACATTTTGACAGAACCTTTTTCCATTTTAATTTGTACTTTCAATGATAAGAGGAAAACGTTTTATTGGCTTGATGACAGTGAATTACTTACCAATAATATAAGATCTTGATGCTTCCCTTGCTTATGAGTGAGGCTTACCTGGCATGGTAGAAGCCAGTCAGGGTTTCTGTCTTTAGATTCCATTTCAATTTTGCTCAAACCCGTTTAATGGAGGGCATGGCCACTGAATACACTGCATTCCATATGGAATAGCTCAGAAACAATCACCACATCATTTTCTTCTGGTATAATCTCTATAGAAATTGGGTATGGGTCATGATTTTCACATAGCAAAGCAGGAGGTGAGCAATCAAACCTGTCAATCCAGAATTTATGTAAGTAAGAATCTCCTGGGTACTAGGAGGGTGTAGGTGACTAGAGAAAGTTCATTAAGCCAGTGATAGCTCCTGTGTTTTAATATGAGAAGCTTCCTCTGAAAAAGTTCACCAAGTCATTCCTATTTGATACGGACTCTAAATAAAATGTGTTGGTTTGCCACGTTCTACACCTCCGTTCTGGCTGAAAATAATTTATTTACCATGTGGAAAAATGTCAATTACTTTTATCACTACAGAATACCTGCATTTATCTGCGTATGTTGGCTTAAATTCAGCAAACCAACGCCAAATAGTACCCAAGTTTCAATTAGCTGACTTTTTTCTGTAAAAACCACAGATTTCTTTCTTCCTTTTTTCTCTCTTACTCTTTCCTTCCTTCCTCTTTCTTCTCCAGCGCTTACTTTTTCTCTTTGCCCATGTGTGTATGCCTTCAGACCAGCAGAGGTGGCCAGATCCTTCTGTACTGAGTCTCCGGCACCCTAACAACTAAGCCCAGTGCATCTTACCTACTCAACCCCCCAAACATCATTTATAGGGTCCTCCCTGCTCATGCACCCGCAGGCCAGCAGAGGGCGCCAGAACAACATATAGAAGGTCGTGCACAACCTCACCCAGGGCAGGGTGCACCCATCTTCCCCACGAAGCACACAAGCCTGGTGGGAGAGAAGGACTGGGCCTCTTCTCTTCCCGCCATCCCCCTTGCCCCACGCAGGAGCCGCTCGGGGACACCAGGACGGTCGGCTGGCGGTGGACAGGGGAGGGAGGCGGCGAACCCCAAGGTTCTTTCCCTCCCCGAACCCTCGTGTGACCAGGACTACGAGTTCATTACTGCTTGGGATAAGAAGATTGCTGACAAGGGACAACAGGTCCAGGTAGCGGTGTGCCACTAGCGGAAGTCCCGCCCTTTGGGCTTTGCTTCCGGATCTGCCCTGCAGAGACTTCCGGGTGCAGACGCTCCGAGGCGGCCCCGCCATCTCCCTGTCCCCCGCCACAGGGATGTAAGCACAAACCTACTCACAGACGGACCTTCATCCTTTTTCCCCACTTCTGAGCGAGCGCTCGCTGGTTTGGGAAGTACCAACAGTAACATGATGCTTTGCGGAAAAGACCAACCTTCCTGAAAACTACAAACATGGCGTCGAAGCAAGGACTTCTGGGATTGTATCTAGAACTACCAAAATGGTGTCTGGCCGGCGCAATGCCTTCTGGGATTGTTTGCAGTCCCATCTCTGAGTCTCTCCCGTTAAGCAGCTTGGACCAGGGACGGGGCACGCCTACAAATCCCAGAATGCCCGACATGCTGTTCCCATCAACTCGTGCTGGCCTCCCTCACCCAAGTAGGCATGGGGGCCTCTTCACGCTGCTGCTGCTAGTTTTCAGAGTCTGCACGGCCATTCCCCTGCTCCAAGTGCCTGCAAATCTCCCTGGCATGCCATTCTGTCGTTGGGTCACGATTGGACAGTTGCTTTGTGACGTCATCGCCCCGCCCCATGTCTTGGAAGCTGCTGCTACAGTATAAAATGTCTAGTGCCTGGGAGCTGGAGAAGTGATCCTTGGGTCTCTGCACATTTTATTACGTCATTAGGAGTCAGACACAGGAAATAAATCTCTTCCAAATACATACATATATATATATATGTAAGGCCGGGTATGGCAGCACACGCCTGTCATCCTAGCATTCCTGCAGGCAGTGGCAGGAGGGTCTCTTGAGTTTTCTTCACCCCATAATCCCAGTATCAGATGAGTTGTAGCGATTTTGTTTGACAGTGATTAATACTCTTTTTTTTAATTACATAACAAACTGCTGGAGGTGCCTGCTGCTCCAGATGGACCTAAGCTCAATCCCCAACACTTACCACGGTTCTGAATCCCCTTCCAGCAGATCTCACAATCTCACACACAGGAAG